GCGGTGAAACATGATCGCCGAAGCCAGTGGTTAAGTCAATTGATGCCAACGATTAATCCCACGGAATTCTTTATCTCCCTGTATCAAGTCGTAAAAACCACGCCTGTGACACGAGAAGTACACTATGTGAAAATTACCACAACCCCCCCCCCCCTCCCCTCACTCCGCACCCACCTTAACTAGACTTGTCAGTTACGCCTCTGAACTGGAAAGTAGTGAAATTTTATCTCCAAAGAGGGAAATCCCCATTGTGGCAATGTAATTGAGACCTGCATGGCAACTCACGCCTAGGAGAAAGGCGGAACTCCGGCCATATGATTTTGGGGGTGCCTAGTTGACCATGTTTTTAGTGCACCCTAACTAGCATTGGTCACTGTTATGTGGTGAATGCATAAAGTGTCTTTAATGTGATCGATCCATGTTTCACGGTCCTCCTCTTGATCTTGTAGTGGATCCTCGGAGATGTGCCGCCTGTGATGGTATCTGATGTGGCGCTACACTATAACGAGATGGCCAGACCACTTGATCGGCTGCTTCTCGATGAATCGAGACACGCCTATTCAACAAAGTTTACCCAGGGGCAACATGAAAAAAAAAAAAAAATTGGGATCATTACGAGCCTGAGCCGCAGCAAAGAAACATCCTTAACACACTGACTGGCAAAGATTCGCGGGCCACACGATAGACTCCCGCGGGCCAGCTTTGGCCGCTAGTTAAAAAGCCCTGACCTGGTACAAAGTGTCGATCCCCAAACACCGATAAAGTGCAGTGGTTCTTAAACTTCCTAATGCCACGACCTTTTAATAAAGTTCCTCCTTTGTGGCGACTCTTTAATACAGTTCCTCCTTTGTGGCGACTCTTTAATACAGTTCCTCCTTTGTGGCGACTCTTTAATACAGTTCCTCCTTTGTGGCGACCCTTTAATACAGTTCCTCCTTCGTGGCGACCCTTTAATACAGTTCCTCCTTTGTCGCGACCCTTTAATACAGTTCCTCCATTGTGGCGACCCTTTAATACAGTTCCTCCTTTGTGGCGACCCTTTAATACAGTTCCTCCTTTGTGACGACCCTTTAATACAGTTCCTCCTTTGTGGCGACCCTTTAATACAGTTCCTCCTTTGTGGCGACCCCTTAATACAGTTCCTCCTTTGTGGCGACCCTTTAATACAGTTCCTCCATTGTGGCGACCCTTTAATACAGTTCCTCCTTTGTGGCGACCCTTTAATACAGTTCCTCCTTCGTGGCGACCCTTTAATACAGCTCCTCCTTTGTGACGACCCTTTAATACAGTTTCTCCTTTGTGACGACCCTTTAATACAGTTCCTCCTTTGTGGCGACCCTTTATTACAGTTCCTCCTTTGTGGCGACCCTTTATTACAGTTCCTCCTTTGTGGCGACCCTTTATTACAGTTCCTCCTTTGTGGCGACCCTTTATTACAGTTCCTCCTTTGTGGCGACCCTTTAATACAGTTCCTCCTTCGTGGCGACCCTTTAATACAGTTCCTTTTTCGTGGCGACCCTTTAATACAGTTCTTCTTTTGTGGCGAACCTTTAATACAGTTCCTCCTTTGTGGCGACCCTTTAATACAGTTCCTCCTTTGTGGCAACCCTTTAATACAGTGCCTCCTTTGTGGCGACCCTTTAATACAGTTCCTCCTTTGTGGCGACCCTTTAATACAGTTCCTCCTTTGTGGCGACCCTTTAATACAGTTCCTCCTTTGTGGCGACCCTTGAATACAGTTCTTCCTTTGTGGCGACCTTTTAATAAGTTCCTCCTTCGTGGCGACCCTTTAATACAGTTCCTCCTTTGTGGCGACCCTTTAATACAGTTCTTCCTTTGTGGCGACCCTTTAATACAGTTCCTCCTTTGTGGCGACCCTTTAATACAGTTCCTCCTTTGTGGCGACCCTTTAATAAGTTCCTTCTTCGTGGCGACCCTTTAATACAGTTCCTCATGTTGTGGCAACCTCCAAACATACAATTATTTTCGTTGCTACCAAATAACTTAAATAAATATGTGTTTTCCAATGGTCTTAGTCGACCCCTGCGAAAGGGTCGTTTTGCCCACACAAGTGTCGCGACCCGCAGATTAAGAACCACTGATGTATTAAGTGGGTATATTGAGACATGATGATTGTAATGATGAGAAAACAAGAGACACGATGGAAATATAACTCCAGAAGATGGCTTCTCAGCATAAATCCGCCAAAGTCCATGGCTTGTGTACGTCAGAGCACCGTCGTAAAATTGCCACAAATCTGACACAAACACGGCGTCTTCTAAAACACGGTTATCGTAGGATCGTGTTTCTTACACGAACCGGAACTTCGGAGATTAGCAGGTGAGCACAGGTGTCTGATCCGCCCTGCGTCACCTGGGACATGCGGCAGGTATCAGCTGTCCAGGAGAACACCCAGAAACATCTCATAAATTTCAGACAGTCCAGAGTGCGACAGGGAAAATCCGTATACATTTGTCAGAATCTGGTACCAGGGGTGTCCCGTACAATTTACTGCTTCGTGTGTCTCCGGTAATCTCCGAGGTTCGATTTCAGGCAATTCCGTGTTTTACTTTCACAAACTTCCGGTGGTTTGTCCTGAAGTGGTTGGGAATGATTTCCCTTTGTGGCCCCCCCCAAAAAAAAAACATGACAAAAAGTGGATAACATTTCGATGTATGGACTTAAATTTAAATGTATGTGCTGTCTTCACAATAAAGGTTGGTTACAGTACACCCACTGCTGTCTATGTGGATATGACGTGGTGGATTTCCACTCTATTCCTTCGTGCAAATTTTCTACTACTGTCCAAAAACCCCGAGATGCTTTTTTTTTTTAAGCCATCCGCCCCGGAAGTCTAATCCTAGTACTCGAGAATCGACATATTGTTACATGCATTCACTAACCTTACAGTTACATAATCACAGTCTGAAACTACTCGAAGACAAAACAAAATATGTTGAGAAAGATGGAAATGGAAAGAGGCAATCTGATGCAATTAAACATTTGACCAAAGTCTTTGACAACGAATAAAATTCCAAAATTAAAAGAAAAAAAAATCTACAAGAACAGTTTATCCACGCGGTAGAAGAAATGTTTATGCGAAAAACAAAATAAATAAGAATATAGTCGTAGGCCAAGGTAAGGAGGCAGTGTTCAGTATTCGTTCAACTAATATAGTCATTAGACATTTATAAACAAACAGAATCTCCCCCCCCCCCCCCACCCCACCCCTTTCCCACTCCTTAAAAAAAAAAGAAAGAAAGATACGAGAAAAGAAATTGTTAAATAATTCATTTACTTTTTTAACCGGAATTATCTCCTCTCCCTCCATCGTCTACGTTTCATTTCTTGAGAGCCTTTCCTTTTGCCTTTTGAATCTGTTATTTCTGTTCTCAGTTATCTTTATCATAAAAATCTGTTTACGGAAATCTCTCATTCGTATGTTCATTGTCATTGACAAATGCTCAATTATATATAAATATATATATATATATATGGGCCGGACTTTTCTTAAAATATGACCTCGGCTCCCAGGTCGACCCAGCCTTAAGTGGGTAACGGGTGCAGTCCTGGGAAGTAGAGGCGGCCGGCGTGATGCTGATCACATCACCCATCTTGTGCCGTTGGTCTATAAAATATAGGTCTAGCCCTATATGCCCTATAGGCCTCATAGCGTGGAAAAGGGTCTTTTACTTTGCTTACTAATATATATATGTGTGTGTGTGTGTGTGTGTGTGTGTGTGTGTGTGTGTGTGCATACTAACAGACAGATAGGCAGACAGATAAATTCTCTCTTTCTGTCTTTGCCTATCCTCCTCTCTTTCCTTCATTATTTCTCTAACACAGTTATTGCTACAATAAATGCTACTATACCTGTACTTCGTTGTAATAATGCTACCCTGTTTAATCACTGAGATAATCCGCTTATAAAGAAACATGTTCTCTGCCCCAGGTGTGGTTTCAGAACCGGCGATCCAAGGAGCGACGAATGAAGCAGCTCAGCGCTCTTGGAGCCAGACGCCATTTTTTCAGGAACCCCCGCCGCATGCGAATCCTCAGACCAGGCGAAGAACTGGACAGCCCGGATATTATAGGGCCGGGGTTCGGTTATCTGGGTGAGTTTCAGCTGGGCGCATAGACTTGGTATCTCTGTGTGTCTTTCTCCACTTCTCTCTCTCTCTGTGTTTTTGCGAGTCCTGATTAAACCATAAAAATATTCAACAACCTTTTAGCTAAACGTTTATTTTCTCGGTTGAAGTATATTTACAAAATCCCACCACAACAACAGTGAAACAAACAGGCTAAATACATTACCTCTTTAAAGTATTGAAGCAGATGTACACAGTACACAGGGACACCCCTGTCACCTTCAGCAAAGTTTACGAGCCCAACGGAGTATGAATGAAAGGCGACGTGTGTGTAAACTGGCGGAACCGGGTCTGGAAACGTGAGTTGTACCCCAAAAAAGACATCGGCGTGACATGAGTAAACTATTCACCAGCTCATCATACCTACCATTCTAAGAATGATTATGAAGATGACGACGATGTTGATAGTCGTGAAGATGATGGTGATAATTAAATAAGGGTTAAAAAATGGAATGATTGTTAAGCAAGCTTCCCCGTTTATCTTCAGAATACAAGTAATACTTTTGACGGTCGAGTCTCTTCGTTAATAATAATTTGCAGCACGTGTCCACGTGCTCGTCGGACATGTTGGAATAGACACTTCCGCTCACATCAAAGGACGGCTACTCTGTCATCTTGTCTTAGATTTATTCCCTCTTCATATCAAGTACACTTGAGATGACGGATGTTAGGCTGCAGGGGGAGAAATCTTCTGACAGTTTTTTAGAAGCACTCGAGATACAGTCTAGCACTTCGTATTTACCACAAGGTGGTGATTAGGTGTAGCAGCAGGATCCCGCCGGAGATTCATTACTTTACCACGGCCTACTCTATTTATTATTAGAGAAGGCATAACGTAAATATATAAGACAGACAGACAGACAGACAGACAGACAGACAGACAGACAGACAGACAGACAGACAGACAGACAGACAGACAGACAGACAGACGGACAGACGGACGGATAGACGGACGGATAGATGGATGGATAGACAGACAGACAGACAGACAGACAGACAGACAGACAGACAGACAGACAGACAGACAGACAGACAGACAGACAGACAGACAGACAGACAGACAGACAGACAGACAGACAGACAGACAGACAGACAGACAGACAGACAGACAGACAGACAGACAGACAGACAGACAGACAGACAGATAGATAGATAGATAGATAGATAGATAGATAGATAGATAGATAGATAGATAGATAGATAGATAGATAGATAGATAGATAGATAGATAGATAGATAGATAGATAGATAGATAGATAGATAGATAGATAGATAGATTTATTATTTTGTTTCACTGTCCCCTTAATCCAGACACAGGTGGAGACTTTTACCCCAATTACCAAGGTTACGGTGATTTTTTCATGGGGCAGCCCCAAGACGGGCCCCCGCCAGGCCTCACCTTCCTACAGACTTCACAAGGAACGCCGCCCCTGACAATGGACGGTTCTATACACCCGGCAGGTAGGTCGCTGAGTCTGCGGATGTCAAAGTTCAAAGTTCTTAGTACAGGTTTCAATTTCATTGCAATCGGGTTTTCCCATACTTGTCAAAGTTCTTCCAGTGTGCAAGTGCGCCTCTCTTTCTCAAGTTTGTGGGTTCGATTCTCGCCTGCATCGTTCAATTCACATGTGTAATTCAATTTTTTTTTAAACCGAGATCCTTGGATCTCTGCTGGAACTTCGGAGTTCGTGTATTCTGCGACGTTTACTTGTCCCTGCGTCAAATAATTGTTTTGCTTGCCTACTCGCATACCTTTCTTTTTGCCAATATACCTACCTATCTAATTCACACGGCTGAGTGTGTGAGTGTGTGTGTGTGTGTGTGTGTGTGTGTGTGTGTGTGTGTGTGTGTGTGTATCTGCCGTTATCTGGTTCGAATACATACAATTCAGGCTACTTTCCTCCCTTCCAGAAGTAACGACAGAGAAAGTGGGAATAACAATATAGTCATCATCATGTAGATCCACAGGCGAGCCTCTACCCGCTACACTGCGGCAGTTCCCTTCTTGCTGTCCCTCTCTCTTTCGCAAAATATATTTTCTGCGTCGGTTCTGGGATCCATTGTGGAATCAAACAAATAGACCCAGTGCCTCCGGAACAAGCATGTTGTAAGAGTCAGTTAACTAGAACTTTCTTTTTAAAGTCATAATGCACATGTCCGAGAGGCGAGAAACTAACAGTGTGCATAGACTTGTCCAGAAATAGATCAACCGTCAGAATTGTTCACCGAAGTTTACAGCCATTGAAAGGAAGAAAAATACACACACACATACACACACACACACGCACACACACACACGTGCGCGCGCAAACACAAACCCACTATGACCTGATAGATAAATACAAAAATACTCAGACAATGCGTGCCACTCCAAATGCATTTCCGTTTCCTGTGTCAACATGGGAAACCATTTTGTTTTTGTTAAGTAGACATGGGGCAACAAGGAAATCGATGTTTAACTGACGGGATGGTCTGTTGCTGACGGCTAGGCTCTGCTAGTTTTACAATGTCACTTTGAACTATTTACAGTTTATCAACGAGGGACTAATATATTTACATTATTTGATTTTGAGATGGGTATATTTCTTCTTCTTTGAGTTCAGTTTCGTATGCTCAGATCAGACCATCAGGTGGGTTGCCTCTATGAACTCGCAAGTCAGCTGCAGGTCCTTCGTGGTTCCCCATAGCTTGCTCTGTACACTTTGTTCTTGAGGCCAGGTGTCTTTTCAAAGGTGTAGGTAGAGTGGGCAGGTCTGCAGAATGTGCTCATGTGTTTGTGATCCGGTCTGACAGGCACACTGTGGGAACAGTAGTAGTAGTAGTACATTTTACCCCACTAGGACATCACACAAGCGATACACACCCGATGACACAAAGTGTCATCATGTGGATAAGATCACCCGTGGAGAGGTCCCGGAAACCGCGTTCAGCCATTAGACCATATTTATGGTATGGCTATATTGCGGCCCCTGGCAAAAGCCAGGGTGGGGCTTAAAAAAAAAACGAAAAATTGCATCTCACAGGGAGATAACTAGGTTGTGATTACTATGGGGACTGTACAATCTTTATTTTATACATGTAATAGTTGAGCCTGTAGTGTCCTGTTTGTAGACGGTAAATTTGTGTATGTTGCTTTCTGTTGAGTCTGCTGATAGGGTTTGTGGTTGTTTACTGTTAGTTTGCTCTCTCCACAATTCCTTGTATTTTTCCTTGATAAGTGTTTTTATTTCTGGTAATGACAGTGAATGGGTGTTTTGGGTAAATTTAATATTTGATTACATGTGAATGGAATTCTCCCTGTATTGGTAACTGTCAAATGAGAGATTGGTATTCATTGCGTATGACAGACTTGATAAGGTAACTGTCAAATGAGAGATTGGTATTCATTGCGTATGACAGACTTGTTTAGGTAACTATCAAATGAGAGATTGGTATTCGTTGCGTATGACAGAATTGTTTAGGTAACTGTCAAACGAGAGATTGGTATTCGTTGCGTATGACAGACTTGTTTAGGTAACTGTCAAATGAGAGATTGGTATTCTTTGCGTATGACAGACTTATTTAGGTAACTGTCAAATGAGAGATTGGTATGGCAGACTTCTATAGCCAGCTGTCATGTCATGGCGTGAATAGTTTTAGAGTCGTCAGCTGGGCTGGCGAAATAATTTTAAGAATGATAAAAACCAATTTTTTTAGAAGTACTAAGATAAATCAAATGACACAAACATTCTATTAGTTAAATAAAAAAATTTTTTTTAAAAACCCACATAAATAAAATCGTTAAATGTCTTTAAACACACACACACACAAACAGTTGACTTTCCTTACATCCAAAATCTTCTTCTTTTTCTTCTTTTTCTTCTTGTTCTTGTTCTTCTTGTTCTTGTTCTTCTTCTTCTTCTTCTTCTTCTTCTTCTTCTTTTTCTTCTTCTTCTTCTTCTTTTTCTTCTTCTTCTTCTTCTTCTTCTTTTCTTCTTCTTCTTCTTCTTCTTCTTCTTCTTCTTCTTCTTCTTCTTCTTCTTCTTCTTCTTCTTCTTCTTCTTCTTCTTCTTCTTCTTCTTCTTCTTCTTCTTCTTCTTCTTCTTCTTCTTAGCGTTTACCAGCTGTAAACTCTGGTGAAAAGTTCTGGCTGTTTATCAACTTCTGGACTGCAGTCATGTTCGAGAACCTGAGTGTTGCGTGCGCATTCGCTTTACAAATCTAACTCATTTGTATGCAGACTGCTGGTTCCTTGCCTCTCAGGCAGATGCAACCGATCTCGAAGAAAGCAACCAGTTAGTCGACTCTTACGACATACTTTTGAGTAAGCAATGGGTTTATTCTTGTGTTCCCTACAACAGGGCTCCGGAACCCACGGAATTCACCTTCCGTGTCTATGACATAATTGTCGTACATGTTTTTGTTGCTCAGTTTGTTACAAAGCTGTACTGGTGTCTTTAATGTTCTGGAGTAGTAACCTTCATCTCGTGAATGCATTTATTGTTGAGGTCTTCAAAGAAGAGCAATTTTTAAATCTTAATATTGTTAAGCAGGGAGAAACTTTTTTGTTTGTTTTTGTAGCTGCACAGGAATGAAGTAATGCCAAAAGACTAAGCATAAATTTGGTAACACTAATGCAGTGATTCTCAACCTTCTCAATGCCGCAACACTTTAACACAGTTCCTTATGTACAAATTTCGTTGCTACTTCAAAACTTCAGCGAATATGTGTTTTCCTGTGGTCTTAGGCGACCCATTTCAAAAGGTCGTTCGACCCCCAAAGGGATCGCGACCAACAGCTTGAGAACCGGTGAAGAAAATGTAAAGCGATTTTTATATTTATAAAATTTTCCTTGTGCCAGCTCCCAGTATAAGCTGGCTGAACTTGAGCTGTTAGTTCCCTCAATTCTTTTAAAGTATTGATCCTCAATTTCTAAAACATACAAGATAGCGGGCGTGGTCCTAAAAGTACAGTTTAGCCCGACAAATATCACATAGTGCCAAATGTGTACGAGCGTACCAACTTCAGCAGCCCTGGTTGTCAGCCCGGTAAGATCAATACTCAGCATAATGACAATTTTAAATTTTCAATTAATTCGTTAACATTTCTCGCCCCTTTTCCAGACACTTTTTCATTTGTTTTGTTCCATAACATTTCCCCCCGAATCCATTTTGTTCATTTTACGCATTCCAGTATTTACCTTACCCACAAACCACTACAGCTTTTTATAAGGCAATACAGGTCAATGGAAATTCCCGTTTTTGTGCCACTTTGAGGGGCCGGCGTATGTTCACTATGTTTATCGAGTAGATTTATATATAAATTTAACTAAAGTTTCATTAATTTGCCAGTTTTTTTTTTTTTTAATTTAATTATTATTTGGAAGATAAATAAGTGTGCTATTAGAAAATCTAATAATAACGAAAATAATAATATATAGCACACTTATTTATCTTCAAAATGATAATTAATTAAAACAGCGTGTTGCAAATTATTGAAACTGTAATTTAATTTGTGTATAAATCTAATCATAATGAATACACACAGGCCCTTCGAAGATGCACAAAAACGGGAATTTCCATTGACTTGGATGGCCTTGTACAAATCTATAGTGAGCTGTGGATATTAAGTAACTCGTGTAAAAAAAGAAGTTTGGTAGAGGAGTCTCAGTGGCTAAGCAGTTTGTCTCTCGCTTTGGACTTTTTGGGTTTCAGGGACCTCTCCACATATGATCCTCATCCGCATGGTGGCACCTTGTGTCACCGGGGTGTTTGTCGCTTGTGTGATGTCCTGGTGGGGAATAACTTACCTACCTACCTATTTACATACAATGAAGCACAAAAACTGAAATAAGTGCACATAACTATAAGTCA